GCTGATGAGGCCTGTAACTGCTGCTTTATTCATCGTCACTGTAGGTTATTGTAGGTCAAAATATCGCACGTAGCTTTGTGAAGGCAGCCTCTCCCCTTACAGACTGTTGACATGTCTCCTGACAACCAGCACGGAGCGGCGTTCGGCGTCTAAAAGTTGACCGTGATCAGCAACTTAAAGACTCAGCGAGGTGTCAATTTACATTTAGACAAAGAGTTGTGTGGTATTAGAAATTGTATTTTGTGGTGTAAATTAATTTGTCTAAATCAGATCTGCCCAGACAGTAACAACTAAACGTTACATCAATTAGCATAAATTATGTTAGTACCAAAATGTTAGCCTAGGAATAGCCCAATGTGAGCCAAAATATTGTGGTAGGTCTTCTGCCTCCCACCTGCCTTCAGAAGGCTCAAGGTTCAGTACCACCCACAACCAGTAGGCGGTTTGTTTTCTGTTTTTCTTCAACAGGAACGTATAAATAGATTAATAGTTGTCTTTGATTAATTCGAAGCCAACTTTGTATTAAACGTTTTATTGGTAATACTCTATGCTACACCACTCAAGTCTCTGGTGGGGAATATACTTCCTTATTCATCCATCATGTTTCCATTAATAAGACCTTATAACATCCACAAAGAAACTAGCGATGGACTTACTGAAGTCTGAAACTAAGGACTTAAAGATGACACTCATGTTAGCTCTACACACTTTTGCTAAAGGGACTCTTCTGACACAGACTAAAGTATAGTGAAATATGACACATGCAATATATTTAGGTCGGATGGAACAAAGGTAGAGCTTTTCCATCATGAAGATCCAGCAATAGTGAAACGCAAAGGTTGTAGTTTACTGTTGTAGGAAACTTCAATAAATCTAAAACTGAAAATCTTGTGAGTGTGGTGGAAATATACAAGTTAAAAATATTGCAGAGAAATTACATAAGAAGACTTAAAAAAACTTGAAGTACATGGGAAGAAAGTGCTGGACTATTATTTCTCTCTCTCTCTCTCTTAATCTCTCCATATGTCAGTGCAGAAGAAAATAATGAAAGTGTGGTTTGACAGAGATAGAGTGTGTCTATTCGCCCATGCTAAAAGGCTCCTTCCTTCTCCATGCCCTCCAGGATCAGCCCACAATTTAAATCTTTGAATGCATCATAAAAGTACAGTGCCTTTATAGGATACTCTAAGGTTTTATGTAAGAATCCATTACTGGGGAATATCTTTTTCTGAAGGGAGGCATTTTTTATTTAAGCTTGAATGCACTCATGTAGCATCATGCTAATGGAGGCTAATCTTCAGCACAATGAACCCTGAAAAGATATATTTGTGTCAAGGTGAAACTACTCCAGGTAGTGACTTGTGAAATGAATCTTTTCTCTTCATAAAAAACAAAAAAAACACTCAGCACATTGATCAGCTGTTTTTGTGAGTAAACATCAGGGTCAGCTACAGTAAGCTGTTTATTTTATTTTTTATATTTATTGCTACATCAGGAATAGCCTACCTTTCAAGGTGAACTGTTCTCTGTCACTGCCCTGGTTTTAAGTCTCTTCCTCAGACTCCCCTGGGAAACTCTCATCGCCTCACGTGCAATTCTTTCTCCCACACTCGTCTCTTTGAGTTTTACTAATTATGTCATGTTTTTATTTTTAATCAAGGGCTTGTGTGTCTTTGGCAACTAAAAACCGCATGATCGGAAATGCAGCAAAGAGTCAAGTAAGAACATTCACTTTTCAGCCTGTTGTTATGTTTGTATGTTAATGCCAACCTTTTATATAAAATATGTCATATTTTTCCTACTGTTTACATTTTTAAAAATGTATATTGAAAATTAATTTCCTCTTTGCAGGTTATAACAAACTTCAAAAATACAGTTCATGGCTTCAAAAGATTCCACGCTCGACCATTTGATGACCTATTTGTTCAGACAGAAAAGCCCAAACTGCCTTACAGTTTATGTAAGCTGGTCAATGGAAACACTGGAGTTAAGGTAATAAGACACTGATGTCCTTCAGGTTTCTAATGTGCCCATTGTCCTCTGGGTTTAAACATGTACACAAACATTATTTATTTGACTGTTGCTCATCTCCAAAAATCACACCATCCTCAGATCTGTTCACCCCCAGCTCCACTCAGCTCCTCTCTCAGATTGCACCCCTCCACAGCCAAGGTTCCATGTTTGTACACAAAATATTTCAAACCACTGTATGAGTATGAGATTAATTAAAACAGCTACAATGCTGCCATCTAGTGATTTGGCAAAACCCAGACATTGTGTCAGAGAAAAACACAATAACGATTCCTACAGGTATTACATAATATGCTAATATCGGGCTGATAGTATTGGCCGGCTGATATTAGTGGAAATCCCTCCTCTTCTTTTCTCCTAATCCATAAGGCTTAATGGTTTCAGTCCTCAGTTCCATTTACCTTGTAAATTTCAGCCTCACTCTGTGTCTAATCTGCAGGTTCGTTATCTGGATGAAGACAAAGTGTTCACAGTGGAGCAGATCACAGGGATGCTGCTCACCAAGCTGAAGGAGACGTCAGAGAGCGCCCTGAAGAAGCCGGTGGTGGACTGTGTCATCTCAGTGAGTGACGGACACCGATGCCACTGATAGGATCCACAGAGTGTTTCAATGAAACGTATCGATCTTTGCTTTGCTTTTATAGGTCCCAGGTTTCTTTACAGACTCAGAGAGACGGTCAGTGTTGGACGCCACTCAGATCGCAGGCCTCAACTGTTTGCGACTAATCAATGACACAACAGCAGGTCAGTGTTCTTGGATAAATGGTAACAGTAAAGTGTCTGATTTGGATTGTGAAATCTGCCCTCGTTGTTGTTGTACAGTGTTGATCGAACTCCACTCTCTTTTTCACTGCTGCTCTAAAACAGTGGCCTTAGCCTATGGGATCTACAAACAGGACCTCCCTACTCCAGAGGAGCGGCCGAGGAACGTGGTGTTTGTGGACATGGGACATTCATCATTCCAGGTCTCAATTACAGCCTTCAACAAAGGAAAACTCAAGGTTGGTATTTGATTTTTGTTCTTACTTAAACACATTTTTCATCATAAAATATCTGCATTGTTTGACTCTCTAATGTCTGACAGGTCCTGGCCACAGCGTTCGATCCCTACCTCGGAGGCCGTTACTTTGACGAGGCGTTGGTGAATTACTTCTGTGAAGAGTTTAAGAGCAAGTACAAGCTCAATGTGAAGGACAATCCGAGAGCTCTGCTGCGTCTGTACCAGGAATGTGGGAAACTGAAGAAACTGATGAGTGCCAACGCCTCTGATCTGCCCCTGAACATAGACTGCTTCATGAATGACATTGATGTTTCCAGCAGAATGAACAGGTACAAGAAGTTCTTTTATGAAATGCTTACATCACAAAAAAAGTAACATTTTTGTAGAGTAACCTTCTTCAAAATTGTAACCCACAGGGGCCATTTTGAAGACATGTGTGCTCAGTATTTATTGAGAGTCGAAGTACCACTCAAGGCAGCCCTGGAACAATCAAGTATGCTTCTCAGACTCGCTATAATTTGAAATATTTTATTTGCAAATAAAAATAAAAATCAACTGAATCTTGTTTGTTGTCTTGTTGCAGAACTGAGCCGAGACGATATCTATGCGCTGGAGATAGTAGGAGGAGCTACGAGGATGCCGGCCATCAAAGAGAGGATTGCCAAGTTTTTTGGTAAAGATGTCAGCACCACGCTCAACGCAGATGAAGCTGTGGCACGAGGCTGTGCACTTCAGGTGTGTTGTGTCTCTGGATGTGTCTCTAAAAGCTAATGGTGGCTAATGGCCGCAGTGCCCTATAATGTAATAAGCCTGTTTATTTCTCTGCTGATTGCACGGCCGTAGTGTGCAATCTTGTCTCCAGCGTTCATGGTGCGGGAATTCTCTATCACAGATGTGGTTCCTTTTCCCATAACTCTTCGCTGGAAGTCACCAACAGAGGGCGGACTGGGGTAAAGACACGTTCACGTTAGCCTTTTTTTAAAGTAATCACAATGCAGAATAGTGCAACATCATTTACAGCTCTCCCTTTTCCTGCCAGCCTGTGTGTTTCTGATACAGTAGGAAACGAGCTGGGTCAGCCAGCCTGAGGATAGATGTTTTTTGCTGACTCTGTGACTTTTCTCAGACTGACTTTGCTTTTCCTTCCACTGCGTTTTTCTTCACAGAGACTGCGAGGTGTTCAGTAAGAATCACGCTGCTCCGTTTTCCAAAGTAATAACCTTTCACAAGAAGGAGCCCTTTGACCTGGAAGCCTTTTACAGCAGCCCTGCAGATCTCCCGTACCCTGACCTCCGGATAGGTACTGCTCCTTTTCCACAAGGCCACTGAATATTCCTCCACAGGTCGTTGTAAACTGGCGCTTATTTTAAGATGTGACATTTATGAAGACATTTTCCCCAGCAATACAAGTATTGCCTCTGGGGAGATTGAAGTGTCATTAGGATGTTTTATTGGATGGCCCTGTGGGACCAAGTCCCTGTTGGGATGTAGACTTTAGACAGTAATTAGCACCAGGGGGCAGTCTCCCACAGATGGCCCCTGTCTGTGCCTCTGTACAGTTTATGTGTGTGAGGGGTGTGTACCCTCAGGTGGGTTTATAATTATCCTTCAGTGTTCTCCAGACAGTCTGTTAGAACAACATGTTGAAGTTCTGCATTAACTGCCGTTGAACAAAACACCCAGTCTGTTTCTGCTTGTTATCAGGATGTTTCTCGGTCCAGAATGTGGTTCCTCAGCCTGATGGCGACACCTCAAAGGTCAAGGTCAAAGTGCGAGTCAACGTCCATGGCATTTTCAGTGTGTCGAGTGCGTCTCTGATCGAGAAGCAGAAAGGAGAGGGAGAGGACATGGAGATTGAATGTGAGCCCATGGAACAGAATGACAGCGGAGGAGAGGATCAGGTATTTTTGAAAGTTCATTTTGCAGCTTATTATTTTTTAACAAGCATGCAAGTTTTTATTTGATTAAGTCAGATTATAATCAGTTATTACAAAATATCTACATTAACTTAGCTGAGTATTTATGTGTTTGTGTGTCAGACCAAAATGCAGGTGGACGTTGAGGGCCAGAGCCAAATGGATCAACAGAATGAGGAAAGCAGGTCCAACAATAAGGTCTGTCTGTGTCAGGCAGAATTGAAATGCATTGAATTGTGTGGTTTTACTGAAATGATGTTCAAAAAATAGCTCACATACTTGTATTTTTAGTGTGGATTAGTCTTTCAAAGTACGTTCTGGTTTCCCCCTCTCCAGGACGGTGCCTCTGGGGAAAAACAAGACCCAGCATCAGGAGGAAGCAAGCCCAAAGTCAAGGTGAAAAGTATGGATTTGCCTGTCGTAGCCAACACAATCCGACAGCTCAACAGAGAGGTTCTTCACAACTTTGTGGCGTATGAGGTAAACACACAGTTAATCTGATTATTAATGTAAAGAAAATTTTATTTTTTACATTACACTGTATTTTATAATTTCATCAATTTCTGTTTATTTAATAGATTGTGTCATTTTAGTCCTGGAAGTTTATTGGATGGATAAATATAAATCATATAATAATTAAATTATTAAATATTAGTTTTTTAATTTTTTAATGTGAATGTTTATTTACTTATTTTTAATTATAAGTAATTATTACTTAATTATTATTACAATTATTTATAAATATTGTGACTCATATTTTCTCAAAATATATATTTTTTAACCTTACAGCGTCAGATGATTACACAGGACAAACTGGTAAAGGAGTTGAATGACGCTAAAAATGCAGTGGAGGAGTATGTCTATGACCTGAGGGACAAACTCTGTGGAGTCTACGAGAAGTTCGTCACAGAGGAGGTCAGGGCTGCTTTAATAATACAGCAGTGATACACATCAGCGGCATGATTAATAATTCATCCTGTTTGTGTTAATACAGGACAGTAAACGGTTGACGCTGATGCTGGAAGACACAGAGAACTGGCTGTATGAGGATGGAGAAGACCAACCCAAACAGGTCTACGAGGAGAAGCTAGACGCACTCAAGGTTTTCATTCAGTCTACGTTTCATTCACAACAACAATGCCACACAAGCCTGCCGAGAGACAGTAACACTGAAATATTACTCTGATGTGTATTTTCAGAGGTTGGGTCAGCCCATTCAGGACAGGCACAGGGAGCAGGAGGACAGACCGAGAGCTTTTGAGGAGTTGGGGAAGAAACTGCAACTCTACATAAAGTTTGTGAATCTCCATAAACAGAAGGTACAGTATTTAACCATATCCTGTCTTAACATAAAATTTAAATCCATCAAATTGCATTTGGCATTTACACTGACATTTGACTTCCGTCAACTCCCTTTCCAGGATGAGAGATACGTACATTTGAGTGCAGAGGAAATGTCCAGTGTTGAGAAGTGTGTGAATGGGAGCATGGCCTGGATGAACAGTAAGATGAATGCACAGAGTAAACTCACTGTAACCCAAAATCCTGTGGTCAAAGTAGCAGACATCATCACCAAAATACAGGTATTTATATGATCAATTATTTGCAAATAATCATTTAAGAAATCAATTATTAGAATGATCACTTAGAGAGCGGTGACGATTTCTTATGTGCATTTACCAGGAGCTGGATACTGTATGCAACCCAGTGATGAACAGGCCGAAGCCCATGGTGGAAGAAGCTCCTGACACCAATGATCAGAACAGTGGAGCTCATAATGGTCCCACAAACAGGCAAGGAGCAGATGGAAAAGGTCATCAGACAAAGGCTGGCACCAAAGACATGGAGGTGGAATAAGATCCTCAACTGAAACACGAACTGTGCTGCTATCACTGCGTTACCCATCACTGACATTTAGGAAAGTAGAAGCATTTTCACCTGGGACCAAGTGTTCAACCTCAGCAGGCCTCACGTTTGTGGTTTAGGTTTTTCCTGCCCTTCACTGAACTTTGTTGTTTTAACCCTTTCACTTCACATGTTGACAATGTCGTGCTTTATTCTCTGAAACATTTAAATACCTGAATAAATTAAGAACTGCTGCAGTAGATAAAACTTGAAGTAAGTCAATTCCTGTGTAGCACATGGAAAGGTCTGCATCATGTTGGACCTTCACACCTGTCTCATCGACGTCCAGAGTGAGCAGTAAATGAACTCACCTTAAGGAGAGATAGTAAAGCACTGTTCACAGAGTAGCTGTTATGAAACCATTAGTTTGTATGCAATAATACAAATTATATACAGTATATATATATATATATATATATGTATTTGACAATTGTGAAAGTGCATATGTAGAAGCTGTAAATACCTTTTTAGTAAATAAAGTAGCCAGCATGTACATAAAGAATATATTTCAAGTGTTAATGTTTACACTCAATGTCTATACATTAGTGTAATTAGTAGTATGTTACATTTTTCACTATTGGTGATTTAAAAAAGGTTTCTCCTACGTTTACAAATAGTTTAAAAGTAGTTTTAGTTTCACAGCTATGGTTCAGATCCAGGTTTCTACCTGACACATACAGTACTGCCGAGGGTTGTCTATCGTCATGACAACTGGTAAGGTGAGAAGCTACAGTTTTAATTTATGATTGATAAAAATCAATGGGTTAAGTTGTCTTTTTAATTAAATGTTAGAATAGGGCACCTGGGCTGAGATTAAAAAGTGAATATTTACATAAAGTACATGAAGTACCTAGTGATATGTTATACACCTGTTCTCTGTTTACAGGATTAATAGACATTTAGACACATAAATCCATCCAGCAGTTAAAACTATGACCAAGATATTTAGCAAATGCTAATGTTACATACAATTACAATTTGGAGTCTGATGGTGAAAGATGACAGAGCCATACAGTATTTAAAGTAAACTAAAATATTGTTAATCGGTCAAAAAATAATATGGGTAAAAATATTTTGTTTTGAAGCCTAACTGCTAATATTTTTACCCAAAATATATATAGCAAGAGAAAGTTTTTTACAGGTCCTAAAATACAATAGACTCTAATGGCTACAGTTTGGTGATTCAATCGAATCGAAAAGATAAAAGGAGCAAAAATAAACAATCAACAACACAAAAAATATCTAAACTTTCAACCAGCATACACTCAGTGGCATATATTTAACACGTGCGCAACTCATACACATTTACAAATTAATAACGAACTTACTAAAACAAGCTGTATTATACAATACAAACAACGAACAAATTGCTTTCTGTGTTCAAGCGAACGTGGGTTTGGAGCCTGAAGGGGGTGTGGCTAACTCGACTTGTCATGTAACGTTGGAGCCGTGACGTCAGTGTACGTTTAACGGGCGGACACATTCAAAATGGAAGAAATGGCAATGTTTTGGAGGGGAACGCGACAAAAACAATTTTCGGCCTGGTGAGAGCTCAAATCTTGACCGTGGATGGTCTGTGTACGCGTCGCAGTGGCTCACAACCAATCTGCATGTTCAAGGCCACCGACAAACGACAAAATGAGCATTTCTATCGGAGATAAAATTGAGGTAAGTTGTTTTGGTGGGCTAACGCCCATCTGCTAACGTCAAACTCGTTAGCTAGCGAGCACTCTTAGATAAGTACAATATTTTTAAAATATTGATATTTCTTTCTATGTTTTTTAAATAATTTTGAATGCATTGGTCGTTGGTATACTAATAGTGCAACATTTTACAACGAAACTTTACCATATGCCATGAGTGGCTTTAACTTTCGTAGGCGTTGCATTGGCTTTAGTGTATTAAAAAAGGTAAACGGTTAAACTTTTGAAATGCAGATAAATTACTGGGGAAATATACTTTAAAGTTACTTTGCTTATAAATATAATGTTTATCGACGCATTTCTGTTATTTTAAAACATAGAAGAGGATGTATGTTGTTGGCTGCAACGTTATAGTGTATTAAATTATGCAAACGATATGATAGAATAAAGTACGATGTTCTTTGTATTTATTGCGGTGTCAATTAGCCCGACGTTTTGAAACAGACCTTTAACTATCCTTGTTTAGTGAGTTCTGAGTAAACGCTTACTGTAGAAAACACCTGGATTTGTTATTGTACATTTGGTAATCTTAGTGGATAATGAGTAGAATTTTGACGAGTTAGTGTTTGTAATGTGACCGTCTGTCTGTGTGGGTTATGATTATCAGCCCCTGTGTGTAATCCTGTTCTCCGGGGACAGTAACCGTTGCTGTGTGTACTAGACGCAGCGGTGTGTTAAACCCCAACATGCTGCTTGGAAACGGCTCCAAGTGGTCCCTTGTTAGCGGGAAGAGAGCCGGGATAATTGAAGGCTTTGGTTGGCCATATGACAGTGTCAGGTGTTGTGGGTTTGGTTGACAGTTAACAGTTTGTTGTGGGAGGATTTGTCCTTTTTGAGGTTAAAGTTAGTGGCAGACTTGTCTATCGCGGTACCTCCAGCATGTCGCAGGAGAGAGGGACCAGGTTTGATCAGGTCATGGACTACTTTTTTCAAAACTTTTCTGTTGACACTAATTGCTGCAGAGATGAGAAAAACTGTGTACCATATACTCAGGAGCTCAGGATTGAGGTATTGTTCTTTTCCAAAACCCTGGCTGTTTGTGTTATTGTTATTCAAGTGTCAATCCATATTTAATGTTTTTATTTTTTTGTCTTTTTTTCCCCAGGACTTTAAAGTCCTCACGCTCCTTGGTAAAGGCTCCTTTGCATGTGTTTACCGAGCAAAGTCAGTGAAAACTGGACTAGATGTCGCGATCAAAACGGTGAGAATCTTCAGAATTTCTTTGTTACTAATAAGGTCAAAGTAGCCTGACCTCTCTGTGGCGAGACAACTAATAATACCTGACAGTTTAAGGATAAACTGAGAATGTTGGATAATTAGACCTTCTGTACTCCCATGAGAGTCTTGTGGTCCCTTGTCTCCCTTCAGATGAGGTCAGATGAAGTAGTTCAGTTGTATTTTGTGTGTGTGTGTGTGGGGAGGGGGGGGGGACAGATTGACTATTAACCACCTGAACCAACTGCACTGTTGCAGGACTGTACCAGACTGAATGTAGACCACACAGTCTACAGGTGTATAATTATCTCTGTTGTTCCCATCTACAGATAGACAAAAAGGCGATGCACAAAGCTGGCATGGTCCAGCGTGTGACCAACGAGGTGGAAATTCACTGCCGTTTAAAACATCCTTCGATACTTGAGGTAACAGTCGCTGCAGATGTCGTATTTTCATTCACTACGAGGTGTTTTTTTTTTTTTTTTGTCATCACTTAATTGTTCTGATGTATGGTTATCGACTAAGGCATGAAAGCACCTTCATTAAGGGAGACTGATAATAATAATGTTAAAGACATGATACGAAAGAGAATATTCAATTTCAGTTACCCTGGTGTATTGTGTTATCGTTGCCATGGTTATTTTTTGTCTTATTATTGCACAACATTCTCCTGCTCTTATTTCAATTTTTTTTTCTGTTTCTATCATTTGGGGATTTGAGTTATAAATGTAGTGGAAAGTAAATGGGTAATTTCTCTCACTTAAATATAAATAAATCACACATGCCTCACACTTTATCTTCTACTTTCTTCACTTTATTTTCTAAATCCTGCAAATGGTTTTATTTTTTTCTTTAGCGATTATAAATGTAGATCCCTCTGTTCCAAATCTGGTAACCTGATGTTAAACATTTATCAGCTGTTTACTATGCTGACAGCTTTCCTACAATTCAGTTGTTAAAAAAACTCTGTATATCTGTACTGTATATCGTCATGCCCATAGTATCGCAGTATATTGCAATACATTGTATTGTTGCCACTGTATCGTAATATTTATTGTATTTTCAGATTCTTGCCTCTATTATAAATGAATTTACTTTTTTTTTTACTCCAGTTGTACAACTACTTTGAGGACAGCAACTATGTGTACCTGGTGTTAGAGATGTGCCACAACGGAGAGATGAGTCGGTTCCTAAAAGAGCGAAAAATGCCTTTCTCTGAGGAGGACGGTAAGGCAGTCGGATTTTGCACGAAATACTTCGCTGTAACGTCACTGTTGTCGCTTCACTCGGACTAATCCTTCTGTTGTTTGTCTTCACAGCGAGACATTTTATGCATCAGATAGTGAAAGGAATGCTGTACTTACACACTCACGGCATCCTGCACAGAGATTTGACCTTGTCCAATCTTTTGCTGAGCGGCAACATGAACATAAAGATTGCCGACTTTGGCCTGGCCACTCAGCTGAAGCTCCCAAACGAAAAGCACTTCACAATGTGCGGAACTCCCAACTACATCTCCCCCGAGGTGGCCACTCGCAGTGCCCACGGCCTGGAGTCTGACGTGTGGTCCCTGGGCTGCATGTTCTATGCCTTCCTAATGGGACGACCTCCGTTTGACACGGACACGGTCAAACACACTCTGTCCAAAGTGGTTCTCGGGGAATACCAGATGCCTACTCATGTTTCCTTAGAAGCTCAGGACTTGATTCATCAACTGCTCCAGAAGGACCCCGCCCACCGACCAAGTCTCTCCGCAGTGCTTGACCACCCCTTCATGACCCAGAGCCTTCTCGTCAGGACCAAAGACCTGGTGTTGGCCGACGACGGGTCAATGGACAGCGGTATTGCCACCATCTCCACGGCTTGTACCTCCTCCACTTCGGGCAGCAGTGGAAGCCGCCTCCAGAGGAAAGCCAGACACGTGGTTGGTCCTGCCCTGCCCAATCGCATGATGCCCATTCAGGGTCTTCACCGGCAGCCTGTGAGCGGCTGTTATGAGGATGGAGACCAGTGGCAGGTGCCAGACAGTTTTCACACTGAAGGCAGGGGCAGGTCAGAGCGAGCGGGGGGAAACAGTCAGCCTCACTCTCGATACCTGCGAAGAGCACACTCCTCGGATCGCTCGAGTTCCTGCGCCTCGGGTCAAGGCTTGAGTCACGAGTTGGGCAGATGTAGCTCTGAGGACATGCTGACTGGAGTAGGACGTCCAGTGTTCTCCATGCCGACAGCCCAGCAGCCATTCACAAACCACGGCAGACTCCCGTCTCCTCCTGTCAAACAGTCAAAGTAAACGTTCTCTACAGTCGAACATTTGATCTCCTGTTTCATTTTTATTCTGACACTGACAGATTTTAATGTTTAATTGTTTGTTTTTTACAGTTCTGGTTACTCATTATCCAGTCAAATGTCACATTCATCAAACCCACAGTTTCAGAACCTGGAGGGAGTCACAAACTGGTTGAATAATGATGGTGAGTAAATACAGAAATATGATGACGTCTCCCTGTAACCCCAGGTTACAGAGAGCCTTTAAACCTAAAGTGTTAAGAATAATGTTTCCTCTCCCTCAGCCTCTGGACACAGGCCAACAGACGGCAGCACACACAGCAGCAGCAGCATCAGAGGACCTTTAGGGGTCCACAACTCCTGGTCAGAGAAGCCCGTCGGTAGAGTTTTAAACCCACAGCACAGTGGTCACCACCTCCAACATCACCTGTCCTCTAACGCCGACTCAAACAGAGAAAACATACCGGGAGCCGATTTCCAGCCTCCTCACAGCCGAGAATTTAAACCTCCTCCAACCAAACCCAGCACAGAGAAGAAGAAGTCCCTCAAAGACGTCGTCTCTCCGCTGTGTGCGGCCAGACTGAAGCCGATTAGACAGAAAACAAAGAACGCCGTTGTAAGTGTTGTGGGAATCCCCTCCCTCCAATCCTGACTGATTGTTTATTAACGTCTGCATTTACTTCCCTTCAAGGTGAGTATCCTGGACACAGGAGAGGTTTGCATGGAGATGTTAAAAAGCATCAGCAGTCAAGAGAGAGTCAAAGAAGTTCTTCGGATTTCACGGTGTGGTTCTATGGTGAGCTGGCAGGAAATTTAATACCAACATAATGAGTTTTCTCTTATTTTATATTTAGCTTTTTTCTCCTAAATCCTGTTGATAACAAATTATTGTTTCTTATAGACCATAACAAAAACACTAAAAGCTAACATGAACTTTACAGAAGTATAGTTTTAAAATAGGATGTAGTGAAACAGGAACAAACGTTAAATCAATCAGGTTTGGAAAACCACTGCTTTGCGTTCACTATAAGGAAGTTAGTACTTTACTTCAAGTGCTAACTAACAGAGTTGATCACTTTCTCGTCCTTCCACTTGAATCATATCTGCCTCACGACTTAAAGCACTGATGTAATAGTTTACCTGTTTTTATGTTTGTTTTTTAGGTGACTATTTACCAGCCTAACAATGGAAAGGGTTTCCCTGTGCTGGACTGTCCTCCTGCTCCTCCAGAGGACATCCTCATCTGCAGCTACGAGGATCTTCCAGGTATTCTTACAAGAGGCTTCACACCTCACTCAACATCTGATGTTGTTGGAAAAAAAGCCAATGCTTTCTAACTAACATCAACTGTTTTCAATAGAAAAATACTGGAAGAAATACCAGTACGCCTCCAAGTTTGTGCAGCTGGTCAAATCCAAAACTCCAAAAGTGACTCTTTACACCAAGTACGCAAAGGTCATGCTGATGGAGAACTCTCCCAACGCAGACCTGGAGGTCTGCTTTTACGACGGTAAGTGGATTTTGTGTGAATCACAGACGATGTGCTTACAGCAGGAGGTGACTGTTGTTGCACCGTGAGTTAACGCACACCTGTGTGTGAACATGTTTCATGAAGGAGCCAAGACGCACAAGACGCCAGAACTGGTGCGAGTGGTGGAGAAGAGCGGGAAGTCTTACACCGTGAAGGGGGAGGTGGGACTCAGTGGTCTAAGCCCAGAGAGTCGGCTCTACGTGGAGCTGTCTGATGAAGGCCATAGCATGTGTCTGTCACTAGAGGCCGCCATCACTGCAGAGGAGCAGCGCAGCACCAAGAACGTCCCTTTTTTCCCCATAACTATTGGCAGGTGAGGACCAGTCTGTCCTTCAACTATGTATTGGTTTTATTTTATTTTATTTTTGGGGGGCAAATATATAATTATTATTTTTATTTTAGGAGACCTACCAACTCAGACTCCCCGTGTGCGTCAACACTGCCCTCCCAGCCGGCACCTCCGGACACAGCTTCACCTCCTCATCCACCACATATCACTCCTTCAGTGAGTGTCTCACGGTCACATCTGCAGAAATCCAAAGTAAAATAATTCTGACAATAATTAAATAAATCTGTTTTCAGATGATTTCCTACGATGGCTCTGATTTCACCTCAGCCAGTCTGAGTAAGAAGACCTCTCCAGTCCGACAGGACCTGGTGCAAAGCACGGGAAAAGTGGTGAAGTCAATATTTGTGCCCAATGTTGGATGGGCGTCCCAGGTATGTGGTGGTTGAACGAACATCTGTAGTAAAAAAAAAAAAAATCTTTTTGGTTTTATAAAATGATTCCTTACTTTTTGATTCTGTAGTTGACAAGCGGTGAAGTGTGGGTGCAGTTCAACGACGGGTCTCAGCTGGTGGTGCAGGCGGGGGTTTCCTGCATCACATACACGTCTCCTGAGGGAAAGATCACCAGGTACATGAAACACGCGATTATGTCAGGAAGAGAACTCAGTGTAGAACCTCTAGAGCAGGGGTGTCAAACTCATGGTTTACCTTATTAAACTAATTGGATGCCAAGTGGAGTGGACCAGTACAATCATAATTTAATTAACTATAAATAACACTCAATTTTTCCCCCTTAGTTGTCATGCAAAAGGGTACAAGTAAAATTAGATATTCATTATTGTTATTCATATTTAATGAAATATAATTTTACAAAAAATACTCAGAACATGAAGTGTTTGTGGGGTTTTTTTTTTCATCAAGCTGGCCAGATTGAACACTCTAGCAGGCTGGTTTTGGCCCGCAGGCTGTATGTTTGACACCCCTGCTCTGGAGTAAATAATGTTTCTGAAAATCTAAGTTATTTAAATTCAGACTCTGTGTGTCCTTCACAGGTATAAAGAGAATGAAAAATTTTCAGAAACATTATTTAAATTCAGACTCTGTGTCTCCTTCACAGGTATAAAGAGAATGAAAAGTTACCAGAACACGTGAAGGAAAAGCTGCACTGTCTCTCCACCATCCTGGGTCTGTTGGCCAACCCATCCACACATCACAGACAACTACATTCATAATGGAAGAAAGCATCCCAGCAACACAGACCTAGAACAGAACTGAACGTAGCATTAGAATCCTTTGTCCGTCGTCTGGTGTCCTTGTAAATATATCTGTCTTTTTTTTACTTGTACAGAAAACTAAGATTATGAAAATATATATTTTTATCTTAATATGAAACCATTGTATAGAGACAATTGGCCTACTGGAAAATGTGTTTGTGCATCTGTCTTTTTTTACTGACTCCAGTTCTATGAAATATTTGATTCATAAATGCTGAACCAATAAATCGCTGGAGGCTGGGTGAAAAACTAATCCTGTTTGCTGTGTCTACAAGACAAGAAAGTATATCTGGTGACCTTGGGTCAGCACTATACAATACATTAATAATAATAATAATAAAAATTAAATCATAAAATGGAAAGAAATCAGCATAGTAAAATACAGTAAGATGTGACGTCAGAGTGACTGAATGTTTCACATGAAGGCCAGCGATGACCTTAAACAATGATGGGGAACAGATGATGGATGAAGTCAGAGAAATCACGGAAGACGGAGAAGTTTTGGCAAACTTTATGTACTGTCCAACGTCACATCAAGTATCACGTGGTCACGTTCTCTCAGGATCTGACAGGAGGCGGGGTTCACTCCGCCAGGCCATCAAAGGGCCACAAAAAGAGACAAACGGCTGACGCTCACACCTACAGGAGTACCGGCCTGTTAACAAGCGTAGAGAGATCAACCGCGAATCGAACCAGTGAACGAGACATTATCTTGACCACAGGTGTTTTAACCACATTTACCACTGTTTAAATCATTCAATTGCTATTTTACCGAACTTGTTTTTTTTTAAGTGAATATCAAAATTAGAAAAGCCAGCGCTTTTACTTACAGAGAACCAACAGGTGTAGATAAGTTGTATCTCTGAGCAATCACCAAACAACAAGCTGCAGTCTCCCTGGCCGTCTCTGGTAAACCTTGTTGAATTCAACGTGAGTTCCCGCCTCTTGAGTAGTTCGACCAATCATCGTACAGAAATCCCGCTTAATCGGAAGTGACGTTTTTAGCGTCATCTATCAAATCGGCGTTCAGCACCCCAATCAAAACAAAGTCGAGTGCTACTCTAAAACGTTTCAATTTAAACCCATACGCATGCGTATTCGAGAAGGATTTGTTTTTGTGGCGCAGGCGTTAAGATAGCTTCTTCCATTCCGGCAAATATGGTTAACCAATAGAACTCTTTGGTCGCGTTTTAGCGAACTTTTATCTAATAAAAACTCGAAAAAGCAATATTTGAATTCCAAGAATATTTGAGTAATAATTAATAATAAAAATGTTTAACCTTGGTATGGTAAATATATTATGCAGTTACTGATCAGTGAGACGACTAAAGCAGACCAAGAGACAGTCAGGTGAGGTTTCACATATTTATTTTCCCCTGTTGATTTTGGCCATTTAATTAAAAAAAGGTCACAAAAATGTGTATTCCTTTCAATTACAGAACTGATACAAAACAACATACTGTACGGATGTAGGCCTTCGGCATATATACACATACTGTACATGACACCCAGAAAGTAAACGTTCAGGTGGAAACTGGAAGAAAGACCTGCGTGGTTGAAAGAATCAAAGACAGACGGAACAATTACTACCATTTATTTCCCATTTAGAAGCACACCCAGGAACACGTAGGACACAGTATAGTGGTGTACGCACATTGGCCTTTTATACTTGAACGGAACAATTTCTCCACTTCGCCCCATTTCCTAAGTAAGGAAACACCGCTGAGGAGGGGGAAGGATGAGAGAGTTTCTCCTGAACCTGTGGCCGAGCTCGTAGGTGATTCTTGGTTTTCTCTTGTCCTGCAGGGGCGCTGGTGAGGAGGCAGCACTGATATGATCATTTACAAAAGCCAGCAAGAAGATGTTTTTCTTCTCTTAGGTACTGATAGAAGAAATGGAATCAACTCAGAGGAACTCTCCAGGACAAGAGAACACGAGAGCAGGTTCAGGAGAATTATGCATCGACATGAGCTGTTCTCCCACTAGATGCTAGAGGGCGACAACAGCACCAACCATGACTACAACTTCTGTCCCTTTAACAACCAGACCAAGCATTTTTACTATTATTCATAGTAAAATGTCCACTGTCCTAAAAACACATGCTTTCAATTAATTTATATAAAACATTTCCCCCCATAGAATCTCAATAAAATAAAGTTGCTCTTAATATCTATGTCCTTACATTTACTAACAAAAAAAAAAAAAAAATCTCACAGTGAACATGGGGAACCAGAGCGGGCTCCTCTTCCTCACCCCCTCCCCCCAACACTACTCCTCAAATAAGATTTTAAATGTGATGCGAAATACAGCAGCTGGAGCAAGAAGAAAATGGAACCAAACAAGTGGAGGGTTTCATGGACTGCAGTTTGACTGAAGAAAACAGCTTTGATGGAATAAGTGATTCACTAACATCTGGACAGAAGGGAAAAGCTCAAGTCTGCCTTGAGTCACCCTCGGAAATCTCTGGATCCCTTTGGAAGAAATCATGGAATTCTCTCTGTATAAATTACAGAGAAAAGGAATGTGACACTCGTGGTCTTGCTGCACTGGAGCTATGACTGGGAACGAGGACATTGTTTGTCTGTTTGATGACACACAGTATTACACTCATCACACACCCACACACCTATAAAAAGTGATGCGACCACAATCACCTGAAAAGAAACAAAAACCTTGGTCATGAACTCGCCCTCGCCTCAACCTTTTGAAAAAATACAATTTCTTGGGTAAGTGTGCTTCCTAGACTGGTCACATTTGATGGCACTTGAGAGCGAAATATCTTCAGCTGTTTCTAGATTTGAAACTTTTCATATTTAAAAATCTATTTTCTTTTCTCTTTTTTCCTCTGACTTCTACCTGTTGGCCACAGTCACAAAGCATTCTGGGATCTGCAGTGTTCCAACGCCTGGTCACCTCCCCTCTGAGCGACTTTGTGCAGAGGAGTCAGTGGTTCTGACCACAACACAGACACACAAAAGTGGCACAGTACCTGTGTGTGTGTGCGTGCGTGCGGTAAATACCTACAAGGGATTTAAACATTGCACATTCAGTGGCACATCCTGACTGGTTCCGTCCTGTTAACTACCTCATCTGGACCCTCGCGTTACAGAAGAAGAGAAGAAGAAAGGTAAAACATCAGCTATTAGGCAAAGTTCACATTAAAGTACTGTTATGCCTGATTAGACAAAACCAAAGATACAAAAAGGCAGAGGAGGAAAAAAAAAAAAAAAAAAGTTAACAGCCGATCACCACCATTTCCAAGAACTATATAGGAAAAGAAAAAGTTTGTTGATTAGATATATTATAATTAACATCATAATTATTATGATTATTATTCATTAATATTGTCACCAATGACATTTATTTTGTTCAGGGACCAGACAAGGGGGGGGGGGGGGGGGGGGGGGCGGCGGCACGCCGGCGCAATCA